CGGGTCAAGGAGGCGGGGATGAAGCCTGTTTGTCTTCCCTCCCACCTACCTGCCCCATCCCAACTCCCTACCTACACTTACCTTTACTAGCTTCATCCCCGCCTCCTTGACCTGTCCGTCTTCTCTCCACATATCTGCTCCACTATCCACCTTCTATCACCGTCTCCCCCTCTCTCTAACTATTTCAGAGACCCTCTTCCCCTCCCACAATTCTGAGGAAGGGTCCAGACCCAAAACATCCGCTTTCCATGCTCCACAGCCCGGCCTGCTGTGTTCATCCAGCTCAATACCTTGTTACTTCACTACATATCCTTGTGTCAACAGCAAATTTACTAGCCATACAAGCAGCCTTTACATCCAAATTATTGATACAGATTGTAAGTAGTTAGGGTCCCACCAAGAGAATGTTCACTAAGTTGATCCCTGCAATGATGGAATTGTGTTAGGAGGATGAGTTGAGCAGGATGGGCCAATGCTCATTGGGGTTTAGAAAAATGAGCGGTGATCTTACTGTAAAATAAGATCCAAGACTTTTTTTTTTAAACAAATTTGATGCTGAGGAGATGTTTTCTCTTGTGGGAGAATCTGGAAGTAAGGAACACAGTAAAAATATGAGATCTCTTATTTAAAACAGAGATAATCTTAATATTTGGAATTTACTTTGAGAGCAGTGGAAGTTGAGTCACGGAATATATTCCGAAGTCAAATTAGACAGATTTTTGATGTTCAAGGAAGTCTAGGACATTGGGTATGCAGGAAAGTGGAGTGAAATCCACAAGTGGATCAGCCATGGTCTTATTAAATGGTGGAGCAGTCTCAATAGGCCAAATATTCTGGTCCTATTTCTTACTATCTATCCTCTCCTCACTAGAGGAACATGGTGCTACAAGAAATTAACAGAAAGCAATCATGAACTTAAACCAACCGAGTTTCACACTTATTTTAAGCTGAGGACAATGAGCCCAAGTAAAATGATGCCAAGGTGTTTTTGTAAAAGAAGTTTCGATTGTTAACAACACTATGCCATCCAATGTACATTTGTACATTTATTTTAATTTAGTATACATTTATTTGCAATCTGCACAGGAAGGAGGGGCAAATGGATTAAAAAATAAACAATTTGCGTGCAACAAGAGTTAAAAATAAAGTACGTTTACACACAAACAGATTTATTCTGTACAAAGTAAGTATTCCACAGATCTGGGGACACTTCAAAATGCTTGCAAGGAAGGAGCAGTAATTTGTTCTCAGCTTTAATTTAATAATTGTAAGGTAAAACCTTTGTTATTAGTTATATGAAATTAGACAGAATAATTGGCTTCCCCTTACTGTATTGAGCTTACAAATAGAATTGCAAAAAAAAATTAACATTTGCCATTTACAAATACAGCACTGTAAATGTTGAAAAATCTGAGAAATTCAATTAATTTTTCTGAAATTAACAAGGCAGATTGAAATTGAATGAAATTTGGCAAAGGATGAAATACAGGTGTGCAACAGTTCTCAAAATACATGGAGCAGCAGCTGCATCCACTAATAGGCAACCACAGGAAAATACACCCCAGCCCCCACAAACACAAAGGAAGGAAATGGTGAGGAGCCACTTGCTAATCATAAGTACTTCTCAACCACGTTTGCTGCTACTAACCTTACCATGAATCTATCAGCAGTAAATAAGGAAGAGAGCAAGCTTGAGATTGGAGGAGTAAGGTGAGTGGCAGGTAGCTTAGATTAAAATTGCATGAGTTGAGACGTTATTTTGGGGGAAAATATAGCAGATGTGATTTATAATGAAATTTATAATTGTGGTACTTATGAAATTTAATATCAAATAGTTGTGTTTTATCATGATTTGGATTTATATGATGTCACATCTCGAAGCATCTCGCATACTATAAATTTCTAAATGTGCAGAGCTATGTTGGAGACAAACATGTGCAGTTTAGTTGTGAAGCTAAGTTTAAAGAAAAATATCAGACCTGAGACATTAATTCTGTTTCTCTCTCCACAGGTGCCATCAGACCTGCTGAGTTTTTCCAGCACTTTGTTTTTATTTCTGTATCTCCAGCATCCTCAGTATCATTCTTTCATCTTAGCTATGACCTCACTCGTCTGCAGAAAGCACATTTAGCTTGGTAGCCTTTTTCTGTATAGAAGAGTATTTTTAGAAAAGCATTTGCTGCTAACATATCTGTTGCCTTATGCCAATTAAAACGCAGTAGTGTCTAGGAAATTAATACTTTCCTTATGCAGTGTAGAAAGTTTAAGGGAACAGTGAAAATTGTTGGATATATGGATAAATTATTCTTATTCTGCTTGAGAGTTCAAATACCATATGCATTTACACAAGCACAAAATATTGTTACTTTTTTTTATTTATTTGTGGGATATGGACATGGCTGGCTGGCCAACATTTATTTCCCATCCCTGGTTGCCCTTGAGAAGGTGCTGGTGAGCTGCCTTCTTGAATCGCTGCAATCCACCACAATGCTGTTAGGGACGAAATTCCAGAATTTTGACACAGCGACAGGGAAAGAACAGCAATATACTTCCAAGTCAGGATGGTGTGTGGCTTGGAGGGGAACTTGCAAGCAGTGGTGTTCCTATTTACATGCTGCCCTTGTCCTTCTAGATGGAAGCGGTCGTGGGTTTGGAAGGTGCTGTCTGAGGATCTTTGGCGAATTTCTGCAGTGCATCTTATAGATAGCACACACTGCTGCTTCTGTGTGTCAGTGGTGGAGGGAGTGCCAATTAAAACAGGCTGTTTTGTAGTGGACGGTGTCAAGCGTCTTGAGTGTTGTTGCACTCATCCAGGCAAGTGGGGAGTGCTCCATCACACTCCTGACTTGTGCTCTGTAGATGGTGGACAGGCTTTGAGGAGTCAGGAAGTGAGCTACTTGCCGCAGTATTCCTAGCTTCTGACCTGCTCTTGTTGCCAGTGTGTTCATGTGGGAAGACCAGTTGAATTTCTTGTCAATGGTAACCCACAGGATGTTGATAGTGGGGGATTCAATGATGGTAACACCATTGAATGCCAAGAGGCGGTGGTTAGATCGTATCTTATTCGTGATGGTCAGCCTGCATTTGTGTGGCGTGAATGTTACTTGCCACTTGTTAGTCCAAGCCGGGACATTGTCTAGATATTGTTGCATTTGAGCATGGACTGCATCAGTATCTGACGAGTCACGAATGGTGCTGAACATTGTGCAATCATCGAACATCCCCACTTCTAACCTTATGATGGAGGGAAGGGCATTGATGAAGCAGCTGAAGATGGTTGGGCCTAGGACATTACCCCGAGGAACTCCTGCAGAGATGTCATAGAGCTGAGATGACTGACCTCCAATAACCACGACCATCTTGTATGTCAGGTATGACTCCAACCACCGGAGAGTTTGCCCCTTGATACCCATTGATTCTAGTTCTGCTGAGGGTCCTTAATGGCACACTTGGTCGAATGTAGCCTTGATGTCAAAGGCTGTCACTCTCACCTCACCTCTTTTATACATGTTTGAACCAAGGCTGTAGTGTAGTAATGAGGTCAGGAGCTGACTGGCCTTGACAAAAGCCAAACTGGGCGTCACTGAACAGGTGCTGCTTGATAGGACTGTTGATGACACCCTCTGTCACTTTACTGATGATCAAGGTAGACTGATGGGGTAGTAATTGGCTGGGTTGGATTTGTCCTGTTTCTTTTATTATACAGGACATACTTGGGTAATCTTCCAAACTGTCAGGTAGATACCAGTGTTGTAACTGTACTGTTACTGTTGTAACTGGAACAGCTTGGCTAGGGGAATGGCAAGTTCTGGAGCACAAGTCTTCAGTTCTATTGCCAGAATGTTGTCAGGACCCACAGCCTTTGCAGTATCCAGTGTCTCCAACCATTTCTTGATATTACGTGGAGTGAATTGAATTGGCTGAAGACTGGTATCGGTAATACTGGGGACCACTGGAGGAGGCTGAGATGGATCATCTGCTCAGCACTTCTGGCTAAAGATTGCTGCAAAAGCTTCAGCCTTACCTTTTGTACTGATGTGCTGGGCTCTTCCATTATTGAGGGTAAGGATATTTGTGGACACTCCTCCTGCAGTGAGTTGCTTAATTGTCACCACCATTCATGATTGGATGTGGTAGGACTGCAGAGCTTAGATCTGATCCGTTGGTTGTGGGATCGCTTAAGCTCTGTCTATCACGTACTGCTTATGCTGTTTGGTGTGCAAGTAGTCCTGTTTGGAGGCTTCAGGCTTCTTCAGCTATGCCTGGTGCTGCTCCTGGCATATCCTCTTGCACTCTCCATTGAAGCAGGGTTGATATCCTGTTAATGGCAGTGTGCATACATCCAGAAGAGCTCGCACAAATCTCAAATTGAAAATTTGTTAGTGAAATTTATTACCTATCAGACTCCAACGTTTTTTTCTTCCTCTCTCTTCCACTTACTGAACAAGAGTGACCAAAAAGTCTGCAAAAAATAGAAGTGTGAAGGTAATGACACAACCATTTAAAATTTACAACCTAGTTAAAATGTGTTGGCACAATTATCTGCGAAGCTGCTCAGTTCTTGCTTTCTTTTTCAAATCTTCAATTAGTTGCAAGTATATGTTTGTAGTTTTTCAGCTGCATTTCTGTGATCTCGTTGTTGAGATTAAACAGAAAAATAAATGGGGTGACTCAGCTTACAATTATGAGTAGGCTGGTGCATGTCAACAACATTTGGAAAATACAAATTTTATTACTAGCAGTCAACGCAAAACCACATGCCTCCATTCACACTGAATGAAAATTCTAAATAATCCAGGTGTCTCAAGCTATTGAATCAGAAAATACTATTTTACATGGAACAATAGTGAGTGTTGCACTGAAATGTAAACCTATGCTAAATTCTCTCTCACAATGCACATGTATTGTGTAAAACAGCATCTCACCACCAAAACGCAGGCATTAAATAACTGTCAGCCAAGTAACTAACTTAAATTTGTATAGTGCTTTTGCAGAATGAAACATTCCCTGGTGCTTCACTTGAGCATTATAAAACAAAACGACACCAAGCCATGGAAGGGGACTAGGTCAGATGATCAAAAACCTTATCAAAAAAGAAATTAAAGAATGTCTGAAAGAAGCAAAGTGATGGAGAAATGTGACATATAGTAAAGTGAATTCCAGAGCTTAGGATTTGGACAACTAAAGGCAGGATCACATACAGTGGGCCAATTAAAACTGGGAATACACAGAAGTCATACAGGATAGAAGGAACATCCCAAAAGCAGCAATCTCAGGTATAGAAAGGAGGGACAAACTCAGAAGAACCACAATTGCTACAAAGGTACTGAGTAAATTGTTGCAGCGTCTGGGTCCTGATGGACTGCATCCTTGATCTTAAAAGAAGTGGCTAAACAAACAGTTGATGTATTTATTTCAGTTTTTCAAAACTTCCTTGATTCAGTGATAGTCCCATGAGATAGCAAATGTACCACTTTTATTCAAAAAAGAGGGTGATAGAGAGCAGGAAACTGCATCAGAGATAGTAGGAACTGCAGATGCTGGAGAATCCGAGACAAGAAGGTGCAGGGCTGGGTGAACACAGCAGGCCAAGCAGCATCATAGGAGCAGAAAGGCTTTAGCAAGAAACTGCAGGTTGGTTAGCTTACTTCCATCACAGAAAACATTGACGTTATTAATAAAAATGCTACAGCAGAACCATGAGATGAATTCAAAGTAATCGGACAGAGTCAACTTTGTTTTGTGAAAGGGAAATCATTTTTGATCAGTCCATTGGCATTCTTTGAGGGGACAGCATATGCCATGGATAGAGGGGAGCCTTTGGATGCACTATGATTGGGTATCCAGATGGCATGTGATCAGGTTCCACATCAAAGGTTGTGGAAAATAAAAGCTCATGGTGTAGGGGGTAGTGTTGGCACAGACAGAACATTGGCTAACAGATTAGAACATTACCAGGCAGCAGAGGGTAGGGTGCAAAGAGCCTGTTCCACTTTAGCAAGATGCAAAGAGTGGTGTGGCAGAGATCGGTGTTGAGCTCTACTGTTTATAATTTATATAAAGACAAAGGGACTGAAGGTACGTTGTCAAATTTGTTGACGGCATAAAAAGGAAGGTAGGAAACTAAGTTGTGAAGAGGGCGTAGAGACTTGAAACCATGTTTCTCTTCATGCGCTGCCACACCTGCTGATTCTCTCCAGCATTTCCTGTTCTTGTTACAAAATGGTTAAAATGGGTTAATTGAGCGTGCGAGGATGTTGTAAGCAGGGTATGATATGGTAACATGTAAAACTGTCCCATTTGGCTCGAAGAATATAAAAAATGTAATCTAAGTGGCGAGAAATTGCAGAACTCTGAAGTGCAGAGGAATGTGGGTTCTCCTCATGCACAAATTGCAAAAGGTTAGTACACAGTACTGCAAGTAATTAGGAAAGTTAACAGAATGTTATCATTTATCACAAAGAAAGTGAATACTGCTGCAGGGAAGTTATGTTTCCACTTGGTGGATTTTTAAAAAGGAAATCCTGGTGACCAACCTTGTTTAGCATATTACATAGTGGGCAATGGTTATGCAGCTGAAACTTACCAAGATTTTCAGAAGTTGGACTACTAGAATACAGGAATAAAGGAATCTCAAAGTACAAAGGTATCGATCATTAAAAGTTGTGCCACACGTTTGTAAAGATATTTAAAAAAGAAACAAACCAGGCATTGGGCTTTATTTCCACAGGGACAGAATTGAAAATGGGTAAGTTATGCTAAACCTGTAATGAACATTAGTTAGACAACATGTAAAACACTGCATGTAGCTTTGGTGGCCAGATAAATAAAAAGATATACAAATATCGCAGAGGTCCAGAGAAGATCAGTATTAGTAGTGTACAGGTATGCATATCAGGAAACAATCAACAGGGTGGGTCACTTTTGAGAGAAAGCTGAAGGATGAGTCAAAAAAAAAATTAAGATATAAAGGGTTCTGATATGAGTGTAGAGAGAATTTCTCTTGTGGAGAATAGCATAACTGAAGGCCATTAATATAAGATACTCAAGAAATCCAATAGGAAATGCAAAAGTAACATCTTTACACAAAGAACAGTGAGAAAATGGAACTCTCTACTATTAGTAGTTGAAGCAAATAGTGTAGATGTACTTAGGGTGAGCTGGCAAGTATGAGAGAGTGGGAAAGGAATAGATTATTTTTCTTTATTCATTAACAGAATGAGGGCGTCGCTGGTTAGGCAGCATTTACTGCCCATCCCTAATTACCCAGAGGGCAGTTCAGAGTCAACCACATTGATGTGGGTCTGGAGTCACATGTAGGCCAGACTAGTTAAGGATGGCAGTTTCCTTCCCTAAGGGACATTACTGAACCAGATGGGTTTTTATGACAATCGACAATGGGTTCATGGTCATCATTAGATTCTTAATTCCAGGTATTTTATTGGATTCAAATTCCACCATCTGCCATGTGGGATTTGAGCCCAGGTCCCCAGAATGTTATCTGGGTTTCTGGATTAACAGTCCAACGACAATACCAACAGGCCATCACCTCGCCACTGGGTACAATGAAGCTTTGAGAAGGAGAGAAGAGAGGAGGCTCGATTGGAGCATAAACAGCAGTATGGACTAGTTGGGCCAAATAATCTGCATAGGATGTACTGCATACAAACAACATGGTGAAAAGAAAAGATGGATGAAATGTTACACTTGAATCGAAAATGTCAAGCATTTTACTTCACAAATTACAGACATAGCTAGCTAACATGAACTGAAATGCATCAGTAAAGAAGCAGGTCCCACAGTCCATTAACAAATTTAAAGAAAGGAACTGAAACATTAAAACAGGTACTAGAACACAGAAAAGCTTCATTATAAAACATTCAAGATGTTATGCCACATGCAGAATAACAGATTGAGTTAAAAAGTCCTGGGAGATTGATAGCATGGGTTCTTTATCTTCAGAAGCCTTATCTCTGTATATAGAATCCCCCAAATCACATCTCTTACACCCATTTGGAACACTATAGCTTTAACTACATAGTCTACTTAACTAAGGCATCAGGAATTTAATGATACCTAAAGTGCAAAAAGAAAGTAACAAAAATACAATGGACACTACTTGACCAGTGTACACAATGGAAACTGTTTACTGTCGATGAGAGATTTTGGGGATCCAGATGGTACTAGTGAGCTACTGTTTACGTGGTGCGGATTCTAGCTTTTGTTTTAAGCTCCAGCTGGCCTAATTAGGAGCAGCAAATAAATACCATTACCTGTGCTTAGATCATCCCAAAGAAAACACTATGGCTCAAAATTCCAACAGTTATTTGAGCTTCACATACTAAAACAGAATTCAGCAACAACCAAAATAAGATCTCTTAAAGAAACTTTAGCTAAATAGATGTCAATGGAGATGAAACAAATTCTAACCTCCAATCATTACTGAACTGCTAACAAGCAGTGGTTAACTATACACGCTAACCTAAAAGGCAGAGCATATCCGATTTCAAAAGATTTGAAATATTAAAATGAAAAGTATCGAACTAATGAAACAACAAATCTGTCTGCGAGAAGATTGCCATCAAAATGATATAATCATACTATGATTTGTCCTGAACATTTTGTCGGCTATATACAATTGTAGTATATGAATAGTATTAACAGAACAATATCAATATGTAAAATCCAGAATGGCAATCCTAAAAAACTTCACTTGGCACTTTCCATAGACACGAGATCCCGGGCACAATTTCATGTTAGTATTATGTGTGCCAGCTGAATATAATTGGTTTAACACTTGCTTTGGAAATTTGCATAGTGCTACAAGAAAGCCACTTCCATTATTTTGTTGCTCTGTACATGTACCTTGATCCTGGTCCTGCTGCCTTTCTCCTCTGGACAAAGTTTTCATTGAATGATGCTTTAAAAGTTAATGGTCTCCGTCTGTACTCAAACATCATGAACATCAATCATCCCAGTGTGAAACAAAGAAGTAAAAGGTATTGGAAAGCATATGGAAGTTATTAGTAATAATACGCAAAAGAAAATCAATACTAGGTATTTAATATTCTAAAAAAAACTGCCATATTTGGCAATATGTGACATCATAAAAACAAAGATTAGCAGTACCGAACTGGACTGCATACCAAAAACACAAAAGGATTAGAAAGAAAGATTAAAAGAAAAATGCAAGAAGAGGCAGAAACATACAAGAGAGAAAGACAAAATTATTTAAATTTCATAGTCCCAAAAAAAAAAGAAAGATTTACAAAAATGTTATTTTCAAGATACCATCTAAATGAAACCATAATGTTTAAAACTGCATCTCTCTGCCTTTACAATGTTACCTTTGAAAAAATGCATACGGTACAAATTTAATGCCTTTTGCAAAATGTTTTACTTGCCTCTACAGTAACATATCACATCATGGTGGCTGGAGTTAGGCATTGTAATTAACAGCAAAGTGGGAATTACTCAGTTATCAGGTATTTTGCATCATGCCACTTCAAATTCAAAGTAGACAGTGTATTTTAATTAGACGTAATGTTGACTTAAATCATTTTACTGTATCCAAACAGTTGCTGTAATTTCAAAATTGAGAAGAATAAACATTCAACCTACCTGTTTTGCGGCTCTTGTTGCAATAATTGAGCAGCTATTTTACGCAAATCAGTCACTTCCTTCAACTCATGCTCATCTTGTATCATTTGCTGCAAATCTCTTGAAGGCCTGCAATTTCATAATGAAACAAATATTACTTTGAGGAAACAACTGGAAAAGACTCAAAACACACTTTCAAAAAACAAGCATGACTCTGAGCAATAAAGTGACATGATTTTAATTTTATCCCCACAATATAACAGTAATATTTTAATTCATCAGATAAGTTTTTATTTCCTGGTTATTGATATTAAAGGAACTTAGCTGGACTGTGAAACTTCCACTGACATCAAAAAATAGTAAACTTCTAAAAAGTCTCTTCAGTCTTGGTTTTATTTTCAAATGGAGACATCTGGGTCTTGTAACATTCAGGGCACACCTCCAGTACATTTTACAGAAACAAAAATACAAAGTGCATTTTCTGAGAATCCATCTATCTGGTGGCTATGGGAACTTCTGAGAGATCCCAAAGTGGTAAAAATAAAAGCTGCCTGTAATGCTAGTGGAGTTATTTAAGAAAACAGTAAAGTGGGGACATAATAGTTGTAGCAATTCACTGGATTGCTATGAAAATAAACTTGCTGAAAGTATTTTTCCCCTATTACAATGTTTTTTTTAAGTCTAAAATATTCCATGTACTATAAACCATTTTTGGGGTGCTCCAGTAACACACAATGCTCTAATGACCATTTTCATATTTTTATACTACGATTGATCATGAATAGTTGAACATAAATTTCAGGAACAGTTCGAATTTTTGGCTTTTACCAGCAAATATTTTCTTCTGTGAAGAAAGGCTGGACAGATCAGGCTTGTAGCCGCTAGAGTTTAGGAAAGTAAGAAGCGGCACGATTGAAACACAAGATCCTCAGGGATCCGAAAAGGGTGCACAAGCAAAGGATATTTCTCCTTGTGGGAGAATCCAGAACTGAGGGTCACTGTTTCAAAGTCAGGAGTCACCCATTTAAGACAGATAGAAGGAGAACATTTCTCTCAGAGAGGATCAGGAGTCTTTGGAACCCTATTCCTCAAAAGGTGATAGCAGCTGAAGCCTTAGATATTTTTGACAGAATTCAATAGATTCTTGATAAGAAAGGAGGAAAAGGTTTATTGAGGGATAAGCGAGAATGTGGTGCAATCAGGATTAGATATGATCTTGGTGAATGGCAGAGTGAGTTTGACAGGCTAAGTGGCTTATGCCTGTCCTAAATGTGCATCTTCGCATGTATCCAATGGCTTTGCAATACAAGAAATGATCAAAATAAGTGTGCAGCAGCAAATAAAAAAGGTTAGTTTCGTGGTCGGGAACTTTTCTAGAACTTATCTCAACAACTTGGTCAATTTTATTTGAAGTTTTTCTAATGGATCTTTTTCTTCAGTGCAAACATTACAAACTCCACGAATTTTGACGTTTGTCATTTTATACAAGATGGAACATTTAAAGTATAATGTACGGTTAGAACTAATTACAGACAAGAACAGATGTGTGTTTACATTTTTAACTTTTCTAAACAATAAACTAGATGAGTATTAAATTGATTGGAAAATGCATTTTTTTCTCAAGAGGTACTGTAACAGGTAAAAGAACAGTACTAACATGAGGTCATTCAGCCCAGAGTGTGCATCAATTTTCAAAGAGCAATTCACATCTCACCAATTTTTGTGCCCCCAGTTTTGGTGCAATGGTTTCTCCTTCATGTTTATTCAAAGCTGATGTGTTTCAATTACTCTATCATGCAGTGCATTTGAAATCCTAAGCACCTATTGAGTAATAAAGCTTTTCATGCCATCTGTTTCTTTTGCCAAGCACATTTTAGCAAATACCTTTAAATTGCTGTGCCCTCATCTACTTTCTTCATTAAAAACAAACAAAGTCTCCTAAAAGTCTATTTCAAGGATTAAATTAATTAAAATGCAGTAACTATTTTCCAAATTTGAAGTATATAATGATTTCAAGCTAGGGTATCTGTCATTTTTGCCATCTTAAGTGACTACATGATCATACCGTGGTTCATCACCCCAGTTATTATCTTTTGCAAGCCGTGATTTTTCAGGTAACTTCCCTCGTTCCTGAAACAGAACACATTACAGAAATCAGTCAGTCATCGCCGTCACGCAAGCTATATTTTATAAGGATACCAAGCATGAAATCATCACCCACCAAGTTTTTTTCACGTTACTATACAACTTTAGTTCAAATTCATAGGTTATATTTTGAGTTAAATTAACTCAAAATATTTTTAGAAAAAAAATCTAAGTAAACAATAAACAGATCACAGAACCCTTCAACTGCAAAGATTTCCAACTCTTTCTTTATGGTCAATATAATAAACATATTCCCAATTACCAAACTGCAGAATGTCTCAAAATTCAGGAACAGCTTCAGCTGTCAATGGCCTGTCCAACGTACATTACCTGCCCCACAGCAGTAATACCCTACATTCTGTTAAGCTGTTGTTGTCAATGAAGGAAAAGTCAGTTTTTTTCAAAGAACAGCAAAAAACAACATCTGAAAAGTTATTCTTTGAAGGGCACTGATAAAGGAAATATGTTCACGCTTGAGGCGCTACATTGGAAGCTCTTGATAAAATCAAGGTACATTGTATTAAATGAATGTAGCAAAATAAATTTGAAGCTCTTTAAAAATTAGGCTGAAGGATATTTTTCAGATTGTGCAAAAATAAACACTGGTGTCCTCTAATGGCCAGTGGTGGGACCAGTGTTCATTTTTCAGATTGTGCAAAAATAAACACTGGTGTCCTCTAATGGCCAGTGTGGGACCAGTGTTCTTAATATTTAAAAATAATTTGATATCAAATCAGCCAATTTGAGCATTTTCAGATCACTAAATCGAAAGCCCGAAAGCCGGATTAACTGAAGAGGTAAGCAAGTGGCTTTAGAGGAGAATCACAGGTTAGGAGATTGAGCCAAATTTTAAAGTTATAGTCCACACGTGAAAGGGAAGCACTACATTTTGAATGATTAAGGAAGTATTGAATTGCAGAAAAGGTTTAGAAACAGCACAGTAGAGAATCATAGGTGATCACTTTGTGAACTGTATCATTTTGGTAAGACAAACCAGGGCAGGACATACAGTTAATGGTAGGACCCTGGGGAGTGTTGTCAAGCAGAGAGACCTAGGGGTTCAGTTACATGGTCCCTTAAAAGTGGAGTCACAGCTAGACAGAGTAGTGAAGGCGCGTTTGGCACACTTGCCTTAATTAGAAGAGCACTGAGTATAGGAGTTAGGACGTCATGTTGCAGCTGTACAGGACATCAGTGAGGACACTTTTAGAGTACTGTGTAGGGTTTTGGTCACCCTGCTATAGCAAGGACTCTATTAAATTGCAAAGGGTGCAGAAAAGATTTACAAGGATGTTACTGCAATTATAGGTTGAGTTATAAGGAGAGGCTGGCTAGGCTGGGACATTTCCCTACTGGAGCATAGGAGGTCGAGGGATGGCCTTAGAGGTTTATTAAATCATGAGGGGCATACAAGGTGGGTAGTAAAGCTCTTTTCCCTAGGGTAGAGAAATTCAAAATAAGAGGGGATAGTGCAAGAGAAAAGATTTAAAAGGGACCTGAGGAACAACCTTTTCACACAGAGGGTTGTGCGTCAATGGAATGAACTGCCAAAAGTAGTAGTAGATGCATGTACAGTTACAACATTTAAAAAACATTTGGACAGGTACATGAATAGGAAAGGTTTAGAGGGATGCAGGCCAAACACAGGCAAATGGGTCGTTTAGTTTGGGAAACTTGGTTGGCATGAACAAACGGGACCAAAAGGTTCTGTTTCCATGCTGTATGACTCTATATATATTTAGAAATTAGAGGACAAGTTGATAAACCAAATAAACATCCAGGACTTAATACTGTTTAAGAATTGGTGTGTAAGAAGCCAAGAAGCAACATTAAAATTATGCAACCATTTATTAGGTTATAACTAAAACATTATGCTCTGTTATAGGCACTACAGTTTAGAATAGATGTCGAGGCCAAAGAAAAGGCTGCGAAGTAATTCATTTTTGGAACAGGTATGGTGGACTTTACTTACCAAGAGATGTCAGAAAAATTAAGGATTTGTTTTACTACAGCTAATAACTTAAGAGATCTGATTTCAAATACCCAACATTTGAGGTTTAAGAGTTGGAACAACATGGCAGACGCAGTGGTAAAGGCTGCCTGAAGGTTTTTTTCAAAGCTATGAATTAAGAGGTTTAAAAAAAACAAAGTACAGAACAGAAATGGTACCAAGTGCACAGACTGCATGGTAAGGTGACATCTGCACGACAACTGGATTGTAGCAATGCTATCAGCTTCTATAATTCAATGCTTCACCAAATGAATCAGGTCATTTGACCAGGCTCTCATGTATCAGGGAACAATATTAAATAGTTCAAGAGTCTGGGGCTCATCAGCACTTGGCATGGAAAACAAAATGAGAGAATGCAATGTTTAGGCTGAAATCCCAGGATGTTTTAAACAATTGGTGAAATATAAACAAATTATTCCAAATTATGCGGCTTGTGATTGACGTGAAAATAAGGACTTTCAAAACTTCCAGTTCAACTAAACAATTGTTGGATAAGCAAAGGTTAAAGGTTTTACCACAATTAATTTCCTGAAAGTATGCTATCAACATAAATTTGTTAAGCAAGTTAATCAACATTGGGTTGCACAGTAGCATATTTCACAAGGCAAAACAAGTTGTTCTAAAGATATTGAACCATGTGATAAAGTGTTTTTTTTTCAATTATGGAGTCAAAGTTATGGGATAAAAGTCAGTTTCAAAATAATTGACAACTATTCAAAATTGTTCATAATTCTAAACTACATCGACTTTTTTTATAAATTGAAATTGCAGGTAAAATGCGGTTAGTGAAGGGAAAGGACACACTAATGCAGCATAGAGTGCTGTATGAGATCGGGTTAGTTCAAAGGCTGCTTTAAATTTTCTGGAATATTGCACAAAATAGGTTTAACTGCATTTTACAGGATTAATGACATAAACATTGTGTATGGTAATGGAAGAAACTGGCTTGATTGACCAAATTATCTTTCACTGAATTTGTGCCTTACTCTCATTCCAAGGTTTTGCACATTTGCAAGTTATTTATTGGATTTTCAATTTAGGCTTATTTCAATGGCAAACATGTGTCTTTTGGTTCTATTTTCCTACCTATTATCATTTTCAGACAATGCAAATTCTGAAGCATAGTTTTAAGACATCACATATTTGCACGCGCAATGTGTTCAGAGAACAAAATAGTGGAGATTATGCATACAATAATATTTACAAAGTACAACATTCTTTGAACTGTAATCACTTGAGCCCCAGGGATCATTCCATGGATGTATTTGATGAGATTCAACAAAGAAAAACAGATGTTGAGGGTTAAATATTAAACTATGCTTATGAAGGACAAAATGAATTCTAACATAATTGGAAATTAAAATAAGTTACTGGAGAAATTCAGAATGCCTAACAGTATCTGTGCAGGGAGAGCAGGGTAATACTTCAAGTCTAGCTGCCCTTTTTCAGTTCTGATGAAGCATCACTCTGCTTTCTCTCTACAGATGCCACCAGAGCTGCTGAGTTTCTCTAATAATTTCTGTTTTTGTTTCAGATCTTCAATATCTGCAGCTCTTTGTTTTATCCAACAGAATGGGCACTGTGAAAATTCACTAGACATTACGCTGTGTCAGTTGCTTCTGTACACAAAGTGAAACGTCTTACTTTTAAGTAAGTAACAAATGGAGGAATTCGAAGAACATCTCCAGCTTCAGATGGTGGCGTCTCTTCCTCATCTGCATTATCAATCAGGTCTAAATGCTCTTGGTCCAATGAGGCTAAAACAAAATTCAAAGATGTTGAAAAGAAAGAAGTGTTTTTTAAAAAAAAGTTGTGCAAAATTGAAACATTACTGAAAAAATAAATTATGCACAAGACTGTAAGGCATTTGCCTTGAAACAAAACATCAAAAGTTAACTTAAAATTGGTACAAATTCCAGATAAAGTCGTTTTCAAAATCCTGAATATGCAAACATGTTTCCAATTAACACTCCTGCTTCTGCAAAAAGGTTCTCTATCTTCTATGGTTTAGAGGGGTTGCCCAATAACAACAATTTGCATGTTGAAAACAATTGAGAAAAACGTTCCACACGATTTGATGTTCCATTCCCAACATCACGCTCAGGATACAGTCACATGGAAAACCTATGTACAGGATGATCAGTTATCAAGTTTAGACTAAATTTCGTTTAGAAGAATTAATAATAGAACCCAAAAGCTAACAAAATTTGACATCAAGCTGCATAAGGTCATGTGACATGAACTTGGCTAGAGGTAGGTTTAAAAGAGCAATCAACATGAGGTACACATACAGGCAGTCACTGTAGAATTGATTAAAAGCAGGTGAGAGGCCAAAAAGGAAGAAAGCAGAGATCCTGGGAGAAGGGCGCAGAGGTGGCAGAGTCAGGATAGGAGATTATCAATCTAGGATAGGATTGAAAATAAAGATGAGCATTTCAAAATCCAACAAAGTAACTAAGTCATAGAGCCATGCAGATCAGGAAGACTGCACATTTTGTCTCTGTAGATACTAAGATAGTTTCAGCATTTTTATTATCAGAATACTTGATCATCAAGAAAATCACTATATGTGCTGGAGGAAGTGAAGACAGGATCAGGCTTGGTTGTTATGAATTAGTTTAAAGTTTCTAAAATTCCTTCGATTCGGGGACTGTTATATTAGATTGGAAGATAGCAAATGTAACTCCTCTAATCAAAAAGGGAGGGAGCCAGAAAGGAAAAACTATAGCACAGTCAGCTTAATATCTGTCATAGGAAAAATATGTTATATACAGGCCACTTGGATCTGTTTAAGGTAATTAGACAAAGTCAACATAGTTTTGCGAAAAGGAAATCATGTTTGATTAATACTTTGAGGAGGTTAGTGTCTCACAAACCTGATTGAGTTTTTTTTAAAATGGGGCCTGGGTAGTGTTATAGAACAGAGAGACCTATGGGCTCAAGGCACATAATTGACATTTGGATCACAAGAAGACAGGGTGATCAAGAAGGCATTTAGCATGCTTGCCTTCATTGCTCAGACCTTTAAGTGTAGGAGTTGGAAATGTCATGTAGAGGTTGTACTGGACATTGGACTGAAGAGTCTGTTTCCATGCTGTATGACTGCGCCTCTAGGTAACAAAATATGATTGCCAAATTTGCTGCTGACACAAAAAAGGTAGAAAAGCATGTGGTGAAGAGAACACAAGGTGGTTACACAGAGATAAGATTGTTCACGTGAGGGGTTAAAAATATAGCAAAATGGAGCATATTGTGGAAAAATGAGAAATTTTGGCAGAAAGGATTAAAAAAAAGAACGTTACCTAAATGGTGGGTGATTGCAAAGCTCTGAGAACATAGAAGGATCTGGCTGTCCTTATGCATGAATCATGGAAAATTAGTATGCAGGACAGAATGTAATTAGGAAGGCCAATAGAACGTTATCATTTATCTCAACAGAACAGAATACAAAAGGAAAGCAGAAATTCTTTTGTTGTACCGGGCACTGCTGAGGCTGTATCTGGAGTACTCTGCACGCTATCAGTCAGCTTATTTGAGGAAATAAGGTGTAATCATGGAAGGCATTCAGAGAAGGATTAGGAGACTAATACTTGGAATGAGGGAGTGTTTAACAATAAAGGGTTGGACAGGCTAGGCATGGTGTGCTGGCGTTTTCAAGAATGAGAGGTGACCTGATTCAAATACAAAATCCTGAGGGATCTTGAAAGGGTACGTTGGAGAGGATGCCTCTTCTTATGGGAAAATCTAGAACTTGGGCTGCTGTTTAAAACTCAGGGTCACCCATTTAAAACCAAAATTAAGCAAACCTTTTCTCTTACGCTCGTGAATCTTTGGAACTCTCTTGCTGAAAAAGGTCGGGGAGGCAGAGTCCTTGAATATTTTTAAGGCACAGGTAGACAGATTCTTGCAAGCAAAGGGCTGAAAGATTATCAGAGGTTGGTAGGAAATGGAAACGAGGGTATATTCAGATCAGCCATGATGTTATTGAATGGCAGAATGGCTCGAATACCTGAATGATCTACTGCTCTGAATTGTATGTTCATACAACTGATAGACACCAGATGTTGTTCAGGGCTCAGAAAAGGTTACTTCAGTAGGGAGTCACCATCAAAGAAGCAAAGAGGAAATGGAATAAAAAAGGTCAAAAGTTCAAAACTAAATCTGCAATATACTTACTTTTCAGAGAATTGAGTTTATCCCCAACTAAATGATTGTCTGATTTGAGGGGCAAATCCTTGGTTATTTCTGACACCTGAGAATGTAGGCTAATTGTATCATCATCTGAAGGCTAAACAAAAACATGAACATGAGAACCTTTGCCAAGGACAGAAAATTAGAATTATTTATTATAATTACAAATATTATGGTGTAAAAACTGAACTGAAAATTAACTGAATGGGAGATTTTTGCCTACAGTCATGAAATATTCTCATTTTTATGTTACATCAATACCTATGTGTCTAAACACAATCCTGTCAGCAGTCAAAACTTTTTGCTTAACAATCTGTAGCAATCCCTATCTACATCCTGTCTCCGTAAGACCTTAAGATATAGGAGCAGAATTAGGATATTTGGCCCATCAAGTCTGTTCCAACATTCAATCATGGCTGATATGTTTCTCAACCCCATTCTCCTGTCTTCCCCCCATAACCCTTGATCTCCTTATCAATCACTAACTTATCTCGGTGTTAAATACACAGGATGACTTGGCCTCCAAAGCCTTCTGCAGCAAGGAGTTTCACAATATACCATTTTCTAGCTAAAGAAATTCCAAATCCTCTCAGTTCTAAAGGGTCGTCCCTTCACTCTGAGGCTCTGCCCTTGGGCCTAGTCACTCCAACTAGTGGAAACAGTTTTTCCATGTCTACTCCATCAAGGGTTGTCAGTATTCTGCAAGCTCATTCTGTAAGCTTATTTGAGATCTCCCCAAATTCTTCTAAACTCCCTCAGGACCAGATCCAGAGTCCTCAACCACTGTTCAAATGACAAGCCTTTTATCCGTGGGATCATTCTTGTAAACCTCCTCTGAACCCCCTTCAATGCCAGCACATCCTTCTTAGATACAGGCCCAAACCCGCTCTCAATTTTCCAAATGCAGTCTGACCAAAGCCTGATGCAGCCTCAGCTGCACATCCTTCGTCTTGTATTCTAGCCCTCTTGAAACGAATGCTCAAATAGCGTTTGCCTTTCTAACTGTCAACTGAACTTGCATGTTAACTTTAAAAGAAACCTGAACTAGGAGTCCCAAGTCTCTTTGAGCTTCAGATTTCTGAAGCCTTTCCCCATTTAGAAAATAGTCTACGCCTCTATTCTTCCTATCAAAGTGCATTACCTCACGCTTTCTCACACTGCATTCCATCTGCAACTTCTTTGCCCACTTTTCAAGCCTGACCAAAGTCCTTCTGCCTTCTGCAGCCTCCTCACTTCCTCAAATGCTACCTGTCCCTCCACCTACCTTTGTGTCATCTGCAAACTTGGCAATGACCTCAGTTCCTCTGTCCAACAGTGACTCAGTCGTACAGTACGGAAACAGGCCCTTTGGTCCAACCACTCCCACATAATCCCAAACTAAACTAGTCCTGTTCCTGGCCCATATCCCACCAAATCTTTCCTATTCATGTACTTATTTAAATGCGTTTTAAACATTGTAACTGTACCTGCATCCACCACTTCCTCAGGAAGTTCATTCCACATGCAAACCTCCCTCTAAAAAAATTTGCCTCACGTATTTTTTAAATTTCTCTCCGCTCACCTTAAAAATGTGCTCCCTAGGCTTGAAATCCCCCATCCTAAGGAAAAGGCAACTACCATTAACACTGTCTATACCTCATTATTTTATAAACTTCTATCAGGTCACTTCTCAACCTCCAGTGAAAAAAGTCCCAGCCTATCCAGCCTTCCTTTATAACTCAAACCTTCCATACCTGGCAACATCCTGGTAAATCTCTTCTAAAACTCTCTCCAGCTCATTAATATCCTTCCTATGACTGGGCAACCACAACTGAATACTGTATTCCAGAAGAAGCCTCATTAATGTCCTGCACAACCTCAGTATAATCAAAGGACTGAGCAATGAAGGCAAGCATGCCAAATGCCTTTTTAACCACCCTGTCTACATGTGACACAAACTTCAAAGAATTATGTACCTGCACCCCTAGATCCCTCTGTTCTACAACACTACCCAAGGCCCTACCATTAACTGTATAAGGCCTACCCTGGTTTGGTGTACCAAAATGCAATACCTCGCATTTATCCAGATTGAATTCCATCTGCCATTTTTCAGCCCACATGACATTTCTTCAAGATCCCTTTGTAATCTTAGAAAACCTTCAAGGTCTACTGTGTCACCAATTTTGCTGTCATCTGCAAACTCACTAACAATGCCTTCTATATTCTTATCCAAATCATTTACTTAAATGACAAACAAAAGATGACCCAGAACCAATCCCTGCAGAACATCACTTGTCACAGGCCTCCAGTCCAAAAAAAAGCAACCCTCCACCATTCCTCTGTCTCCAGCCGTTTAACCGATTATGCATCCAATTGGCAAGCTCACCCTAAATCCCATGTGACCTAACTTAACTAATTAGTCTACTATGCAGAACCTTGTCGAAAGTTTTACTGAAATTCAAATAAACACTGTCTACTGCTCTGCCACCAACATCATGTTTGGTAACTTCCTCAAAAAACTCATTCAAGTTTGTGAGAAACAATTTTCATCACACAAGATCTGTTGACTAACCATAATCAATTTTTGCTTCTCTAAATGTCCATAAATCCTATTTTTTATAAGATAAGGATCCTGCAAACTCCAATAGTCACCGGCCATCATCCGGCAAAAGACTCCTTCTGCCAGTCAACCAATCTTCTATCCATGTCAGTACCTTGCCCATAACACGATGAGCTCTTATCTTATTTAGCAGTCTACTGTGCAGCACCTGGTCTACCAATAATAGCTTAATCTACATTTCCAATGTAAGCAAATACAATTTTCTTGTACTCTCCTTGGCAATTTAGCTTTTGCCATTTGTCAAATCTGCAATAAGTTCAGAACATTGCAGTCAGAGTCCTATGTTGCATCAAGTCCATAAACTCAAATTTTTCTTTCTTTCTCTGTCGAATTCTGAAGTCAAAGTGTTAGGACAAGGGCAAAGTCTTTATCCCCATCTTAGAATACCAAAAATGATATAAGTGGTCTCCACTAGACATTTGGCCTCCTTTCCCATAAGCCTAAATTGCTTACATCTTGAAATCAAGACCTAACCAACATTATAGTCACTTTGTCTCCATTCTTTGGAACACACACCCAAACAAACATTACCTTGGTGCTGTTCCTACTTTTTAAATCTCTAAGAACCTTGGTTGACTGAACATTCAGACCATCTCAACTGGCCCTGCCATTCCTTCCCAACCTATGCGGATGCATTCTCAAAGGAGCACCCCCATCAAAAAATATTCATTACCAAAGTTAAATATACAATGCACATTGAAGATTCAAGGTATTCAAGATGCTAGACATCTCAATCCCATAACTGGGAAGTAGCCTCTGAAAAAGACAATATTTCACTTTTGTCCCACAACAGGAAATGGTAAAGCTGCATCATTATGTTACTATAGTACAAACTAGGATCTGCGTTGCTAACTAGCTCAAAATGATGTGAAGATAATTCCTAACTATTTTGTTTTTATTTATTCATTCATAGAATGTGGTCATTACAGGCCATGCCAGCAATTTTTGCCTAGAAAACTCAACTAAATCACTGAGCAGGTTCACAGTACAGAGCAGAGCAGTAATTTACTACAAACTGATGTTGAATTAGTTGAAAAAGACACGAGAAAGCCATGATGGTACAATGAAAAAGTTCACCGTTGCAGTACCTGCTATTTCTGAGTTGGCAGAGAAAGAATATTACCAACTCAAGCTTTAGAAGTTTCACCTCACAATGTACTTTTTAATGCTGATACCAATGGAAAATAAAAGAAAGTAGTTTTGCCAATTACCAGTGCTGACAAACCCGCGCATTGAATTGTATACAATTCATAAAATTATGAGCTAATGCAAAAACATTGAACATTTCTCCGTAAGTGGGACAGAAATACAATGCAGCAAGTCTTGCATTATTCACAGAGAGGTAAACAAAGTTAATACTTCAGGTCAATGACAGAGCCATGAAGGATCTTTTGAAATCTAGCTCCTTGTGTAATACCGTAAAATAAAGGAACAAACTGTAGTTTATGAGACCTTGCTACACACAAGATAAATAATCACATTATCTGTTTCAGTCATATTAATTGGGGGAAATAAATGTAGGACACTAGGAGAATTCACTTATCCTTCTTTAGCACAGACATGGAATCATTATATCCACCCAAGAGGGCAAATTGACTCTCCGCTTCAAGGGTAACATGATGATTCAGTGGTTAGCACTACTGCCTTACAGCACCAGGGACCCGGGTTCAATTCTGCCCTCGGATGACTATGTGAAGTTTGCAGGTTCTCCCTGTGTCTCTGAAGGGTTACCTTCAGGTGCTCTAGTTTCCTTCCAGTCCAAAGATGGGCAGGTTAGGTGGGTTGGACATGCCAAATTACCTACAGTGTCCAGGGATCTGCACGCTAGGTGGATTAGCCACAGGAAATGCACGGGTATGAGGGGTCAGTGTGGACTCAACAGGCTGAATGGCCTGTTTCCACACAGTAGGGATTCTATGATTTTATTCCATGATTCACTCATACCTCTAAGCTGGGGCTTGAATTTTTCTTTTATTCATTCATGGGATGAGGGCATCGCTGGTTGGGCCCAGCATTTATTGCCAATCCCTAATTGCCCAGAGGGCAGTTAAGGGTCAACCAAATTGCTGGAGTTACATGTAGACCGGACCACATGAGGATGGCAGTTTCTTCCCCTAAAGGGCATTAATGAGTCAGATGGGTCTTTTTTCGATAACTGATAATGGCTTCATGGTCATTAGACTCTTGATTCCAGATTTTTGCTGAATTCAGATTCCACCATATGCCATGTGGGATTTGAACCTGGGTTGCTAGAACATTACGTGGATCTCTGGATTAACAATCCAGCAATAATTCTAAACCTTCTGGCTCAAGTTGTGAGTGCTGTCACTAGGCCAAAGATGACAAGAATTTTGAAGGACAAAATACTATCAAAAGGAAAACAGATTTTCAGAAAAATAAAGTTGCATAAAGTACACTTGCTTTATTGTGATTGAAGTTATTCATTTTCCTTGAGAGGAGGGATGTTCTGCATCAAGTACTGTATTTTAGATTAAAACTTTTAATAAGCAACTCAAACCTCCAAATCTTGGGCAGATCATCTGGAATTTTGTCTACATATCCTTGTCATGAACAAACGTTCCCAATCCTGGGCATACTCAGAATTATCAACATCCAGATTCTAACCTTGCCAACATGGGAAGCACTAAGCACAAGCTGGATGTTTCCCGAGCTGTGAAAGAAAAGGTTACTTCAGTGAGCTATAATCATGTGGTTCAGAGCAGGAATGAAGAGGACCTGGAAGAGGGCCATTTCTTGGTATGGCCACGATAGCTGGTGCAGTAGTGATGACAAAGAATCTGATGAATATGCTAAAAGGTCACAAAAATAAAAGAATAGGTTTCTTGTAAGAATGGGGACAGAGAGAGTAGATCAGGTCATGTGACAATGCAGTTTTGCATCAGAATATTGTCTTAATGTTTTTGGAATTTCTTAATTATATTTTCATTTCAAACATCGCCACATTACTTAGAAAGGCTACAGTGAATGGAAATTGCATATTTCATTTGTAAAAAGTCACAGTACAGAATTGGCAAAGTTGATTGTCTATTAGAAGAGCTATTTTTAAAAAAGGGAAAGCACAAAGACTGCAGAACAGGGCTAATTCTCTACTGCCACTTGCTGGACATGTCTGTCAAAGCAAGATTAGAGTGTACGATGGAAGGAAAAGTGCAAGAAAAATTATGTTGCTGTATAGAATACTCTCAAGTTTGATAATTTCTGTGGAAGAAATCACCACAGTTACACAGTTGACTTTACACAGAATTATATTGCAGGGATCCTGCCAATACCTGTCCAGCTCTTTGAACCAGCTATCCAATTAATCCCACATACTTGATGTTCCCTATAGCCCTGCAAATCTTAAACTTTCTTGAAATCATACTATCGAAAAATTCTCATCCTCCTCAGTTCTCATTAAACAAGCAGAAGGCTGTCTGAAGCATGGACACAATATTAATCCATTTACCATACTTGGGCTTCAGAGACCCTAATGTTAACAGGCATCAATTAAAATGTTAGGCAAGATAGTAAGAATTCTGCTAAGTGGCAAATGCTTCAGTGCCAGTAATTAAGGGATCACATTCATCAACATGTATGGTATATAAGATAACGACTAAGTTAATGACTTGGAACGACTTAGTTTTTAAGAGGTTAAATATGCCAAAATGATCAGTGCAAAACTTAACACAGATGTGCAGCAGCAGGTTATACTATTGACATGCACAAAGTGGACAGGGTTTTTTAGGGTTTAGGGGTCTTGTCGGATGTCTGTGCACTTATTTTGATCTGCTTTCTACAATTTGTTAGGGTTTATTGCAGTACTTGCCATTCCTCAACACTTCATAAAAAAGTTCAAAGTCACAAATAGCAAGTTAAAGTACCATTCCTAGAATAAATTAGCCAGAAATACCAGAACAGCATGTTACTAAGATTGACAAATTTAGAAGCAGTGTTCTTTTTGCTGTAATTATGTTACATTCAGGTCAATACATATATACCTGCCTAGGCAGATTTAACATTCACTACTGCAAAACAGCATTTGACAGTGGCAAAGTGCCCAATCAAAACTGGGGTTAATAAGACTCATGGTTAAAATTCCCAACTGACTGGAATCACGTAGCACAAAGAAAGATAGTTAAGGTTGTTGGAAGTCAATCATCTCAGTCTCAGCACATCGCTGTGGGATTTTGTCTTAGTTGTACCATGACCTTTCCTCCAACACAAGGGCAAAAGCTGAAATGTCCTTTGATGATTGGCAATGTTCAGCACCCTTCACTACTGCTCAGATACTGAGTCAGTCCATGCTTATATGCAGCACCACCAGGCGTAGAATGATAAGCAGCATTCATATCACATGAGTGCCAGGCAATTAACATCTTAAACAAGGAAGGCTAATCATTGCCCTTTGATACTCAATGACATTACCAATGCTGAATCACCCACAATCAACATCTTGCAGGTTACTAGTGACCAGAAACTGAACTAGCTCATCTGTATTAGTACACTGGTTACAAGAAAAGTCAAAGGCTAGGATTTCCATGGTAACTGATTCATATCCTGACTCCCCAAAGCCTCTAATGCCTATAGCTTCTGCAAGGAACAGGTCTGGAATGTAATGGAGTACTCACCACATGCCTAGACGAGTACAGTTTCAACAACATTCAAGAAACTGAACATCAGGACATTGGGGTCAAAGAGGCTGCTATCAACCACCTCGAACATTCACTTCCCGCATCAGACACAGAAGCAGTAGCAATATTTATAATTTACAAGATATACAGTAGCAACCCACTCAGGCTCCTTTGACAGCATCTTACAAAGGCATGACCTTTTCAATGTAGAAGAACAAGGGCAGCAGATACATGGGAACACAATCATTTGCAAAATTCCCTTTAATTCACTCAACATTCAAACTTGGAACTATATAGCTGTATCTTCACCAACATCAACCTAAATCCTTGAACTCCCATGCTATCAGCATTTGGGATGTCCATTTACTCAATGGACTGAAGAAGTTCAAGGAGGCAGCTCATCACCACTTTGTGAGGAACAATTAGGGATAGGTTATAAATGCTGGCTTTCTCAGCAACATACACATAGCCTGACAAATAAAAAAGAAGTTACATAGGCTACTTCATTGATCCTCTAAAATCAAAAATTACAAACTGCACTGAACTATTTTTTTGTAAAAAAAGGAAAATAAAGTGTTTCAATTCTAATGTCTGCTTTCCCTTCATACATGAGCAAAAATAAAATGTGGTCCACACTTGAATGTTTTTGGGCAAGCTATGCATTCATGACTATGATACAGTCACTGGTTTTTGCCACTACAGGCCAGGTTACCTTAATCCACAGTATGTTTACATTTTTATATCAATTTTTTGACCTATGAGTTAAACATCAGGACCCACTGAACACAAATCAACTGTATAATATTGCACTGGGTTCCCAATGTATATTTACAGTTGATTTTTGGTCCAAAGAGCATTAATACTTGTATTCAAATGAAAAGCCCTGTTTCTGTAAAGGAACAGCGATGATAAACCAAATAGGGGTTATTACTGCATAAATGGAAAATTTATGCTGAGGTTAGTGCATCTTGATCACTTGAGAAAGAGGGGAAGTCATCAAAAAAAGAAAATCTGAGCTGCATTAAACAGCCAAAAAAACTCACTTCAGTTGTAGACAATCGTTTATCACCATTATCACTACCAATGCCCGAGTCAGGACCATGGTTTTTCACTGGATAAAAGTCTTCCATGCTGAAAAAATAAGGGAACATTAGAGTTATATAAAATGAAGTAGTAGGTACAAAACAAAACCATCCATTTCATATACAACAATTTTAGCAAGAAAGCAGAAACTCTGAATAGTGACAGAAGTTTCTAGCCCAATCTACAATTCATTCCGTGCACTCTGACAAGTGGATTTGCAAACAAATATTCTATATTGCACTTTCAGTTGTCTTGAATTTCTTTTGTCTGCTTCCGCTGGCAAATGTCTGCACCCTTTTTTTTTTAAAGCAAGTGTCTAAGAACTTGTTAGATTATTGCATTAGATTTCTAATGTACTGTGTCATTATGACTATTTACTTCTTATTGCAGATTGTGTGTTTTTGGCACTTACTACAAAAACTGAAAGGTAAAGGCATCAACTTTGACTTATTCCAGCTATCTTAATTTTAGCTGCAGGTGTAAATATGATTGATCTATTACACATTTTTCAAAAACTGGCAACTTTCCTAGAAGTCAATATAAGATTGGAAGAAACGCAAAAAGTCATTTGACCTCTCAAGTCTGCTCAGTGACATTTTGAACAGCTAAGAAACCAGAAATTCATTAACCATTTCAACAAAAACGTGGAATCTTGGATTTCATAAATAGAATGAGTACAGAGGCAGGGAAGTTACGCTGAACCTTTATAAAGGCTCGGTTAGGCCACAACTGCCATGTCCATTTCTGGCTAACTACATTTTAGGCCGTGAAGAAGCTTGATTCACTAGAATGGTTTCAGGGACGAGAGATTTTAGTTACAAAGTCAAACTGGAGAATTTCAGGTACTTCTCCTTGGAGCAAAGGCAGTTGAAAGCAGATCTGAAAGAGACTGATTTTGTTCTTATTAAGTTTTACATGCAAAACCCAAAGAACACAAATTTGAACTTTTTATGCCCAAGGTATGGAGCACTCGAGAAAGAAATGTTTTTTTTTAAAAAGAAAAGAAGTGGTAATGATCTGGAAATCGCTGCCTACATAGGGTGGTGAAAGTGGAGGTGATCAATGTTTCAAAGGGAACTTGGATGGACACTTGAAAGAAATAAGTATGCAGGGCTATGGGAATAGAGTGGTCTAATAATCACTCTACACACAGCCAGTGTTGACTTGATGGACAAACTGTCATCTCTACCGTGATAACTCGACATCCTTATCCAATGGATCAACACAATTTCAAAACTTACCAGTGTTTGACAGCTTATGCATTCTCTTCCATTTACACTCGCGTGCAGCAAAATGGAAAATTTAGATTTTTGAAATAAAACAAAAATAACCTGTCTGTAAGAGGCTGAGGAAGTGCTCTCTTATCCAAAGAAGGAAGGTCCAGAGAATCTGGCTTTTTGTCTATCCGGCATGATTGCATGTTCAGGAATTTGAATATGTGCACTTTACCTTTTAGACAAATCTGCAGGGAATGGAAAAGTTTTATATTTTAAAGCAACCAATCTCAGCACATTCATACAGTATATTAATTGAAACATACTGAGATGTCAATGAGAAGTTTATGCTAATTTAAATCAACATTACAAAACATTTACCTACGCATGTTTTTACACAAACCTGTGCTGGAGGTGATTGCATTGGGTTGTTATCTAATATTATAACCTGAAGGTATCGCAATTTCCTAAAACTGATGGGTATTTCGGTCACTTTATTGCAGGAAAAGTCTAATTTTACGAGAGGAAGTTCTGCCAATTCTGCAAAAAAGGAGACAAATACGTATGTGTGCACATCTCAATAAATGTGTATACTGAATAGAATGCAAAGGAAATAAATATTTAACTTCTTACCCTCAGGTAACACCTGCAGATGGTTCCTGCGTATGTTTAATTCTCTGAGTGACTGAAGTTTTTCTATTTGATGAGGGAGGATTTGAATTTCATTACAACTAACATCCTGTGAAAAGGCAAATGTACAGAATTCTATTAAGTATATTTCATATTTGTCTACTTCACTATGGGAACTTTAAACATCCAATTTGTTCGTAACTAAGCATTCACAGTCAGCCGGACCTGCAATTCTAAACCTCAAACTTCATTTAAACTAACATGTCCAGTGTTTATTCAATTTTAAAAACATTTTCAGGAAAATGTTGTTTCGAATAACTTGCCACATGAGTTAGCACCTGATGTAGCATCACTGCACCAAATACAAATTGTTGACAAAGGTTGTTCATGACAGACAGCTGGGTGCTTCCAATGTGTTTATTCTCACTAAACGCAACAGGGATTTCAGTTATGGCCTTCATATATTACCACGTTAGACACTCCTGACGAATCCTCACCAGCCTTGCATTCATCAAATCTTCAGAATTTACATTGCTTAAACAACCATTTAGAAGTACAAGCAATCTTGGAATGATAAAGGCAACGTGCCCATTCTTTCCAGACTATGTTCAAATTCTGCTCAGTGTCTTTAATCTCCTCTGGGAGCTTCTCACCTTGTTAATACAGCACCAACTTTTATAAATTCACTCCAACTTCTAACAAGCAACATTAGGACACAATCTTAAAACATGCTCTCATTGAGCAAAGGAAAAGAAACTCAATTAAGAGAATGGCCGCAAACAGGAGGGGAATTTATTTTCATGGAAAGAGAAAATGGCTTAATAGCTCCTTTCCTAAATGTATTGTTTTAACTTTAAATTTCACCCAATTAAAATACCTAGAATGTTTTAATCAGCTTCACATTAACACAAAATAGCCGTGTGGTGTCTCACAGTCTGATGTAAATGCAATGAGAAATACTCATCGATTAGCAGTCAACATTTCACTAATTACTGATTTTAAATTGCATCACTTGAGCAAATGATTGAAACCACTCAGGAATAAATGTGGACTATTAAGCACACAGTGCATTAATGGAAACATTCTGGTGTCAGGCATTACTTTGATGCAAACGCCCAAACTTCAGTTACGGACAATAGGAAAATAACAGCTTAATGGACTCCGCTGATTAATTCTGTTTGCATATGACTGACTGGCTGTTTTTAAAAGAAAAAAAAAATGAACCATAGAAATCAGGAATGGAAGTAGGCCATTTGGCCCTTCCAGCTTGCTCAGCCATTCAATTTGATCATGGCTGATCCTCTCTCTCTATCTCTCTCTCTCAACGTTATATTCTACTTTCTTGCTATAAACCTGAATGCTTTTAAAGTCTAAAAATCTCCTTATTAAATATATTCAGTAATTTGGCTTTCATAGCCTTCTGTAGAAGAGAATTCCACAGGTTCACTACCTTTTGCATGAAGAAATACTTCCTCAGTTCTAAATGGTCTATCCCATATCCTGTGACTATGTCTCCTGGTTTTAGACTCCCCAACCAGTGAAAACATCGTCTTTGCATCTGGTTTGTCCATTTTGGTCCAGTCAGAATTTTATACATTTCAGTCAGATCCCCTCTCAACCTCCTAAACCTAGTGAATACAGACCCAGTCAAACCAATCTCTTCTCATAGTGCTGTCATCCCCAGTACCAGCCTAGTGAATCTCCACTGCACTCTCTCTATGGCAAGTATATCCCTGCTTAGCCAGGGAGACGAAACTGCAGTCAATAATCCAGTGTAGTCTCACCACAGGCCAGTATAACTAAGACAGGACTCAAATCCTCTCGCAATGAAGGCCAATGTATTATTTGCCTTCCTAAATGCTTGCAGCAGTCTACAGGCTGGTGTACAGAGACCCCTTGAGTGCTTTATACATCCAAACCTCTCAATATATCACCATTTAAATAATATCCTTCCTTCTTGTTTTGCGTACCAAAGTGCACAACTTCTCACTTAGTTTTGCACCTGCCATGTATTTGCCCACTCTCTTAACTCATCTAAATTACCATGAAGCCTCCTTGCAAGTGTCAATCCTGCCCAGTCCTGTGTCATCAGCAAACTTGGAAATGTTGCATTTCATTCCCTCATCCAGATAAGTTATACACGATCACGAACAGCTGGGGGCCCCAACCATTGATCCGTGCATACCCGATTAGTCATTACCTGTCATTTCTTCCTTCTGTTTCCTGTCAACCAATTCTCAACTAATGCCAATATATTATCTCCTTTTCCATATGTTTTAACTTTGCCCAATAACCTCTTATAAAGTGACCTCATCAAAACCTTCTGAAAATCCAAATACATCACATCCACTGGTTGTCTCTTAGTTCTATTAGTTTATATCCTCAAAAAAAACTCTAGTGCATTTGTTAAGCATAATTTGCCTTCATAAGCTCTTGCTGGCATTGTCTAGTTCAAATGATGCTTTTCAATTGTTCTGTGATCATGTATTTTGTAAGACGCCACCATTCCCCACTATTGGATGTTCAGCTAACTGGTCTTTAAATCTATTTTCTCTCTCCCTTCCTTTCTAAATAATGGGGCTACATTTTCTATCCTCCAACCTGCAGGAACACTTCCAGAGGCTAGAGTTTGTAGAATTTTGGGAGAATGAAGAAATTTAGGAGTTCCAATAAATCTGCTGAGAGATAGATAGTGGACATATTGATCATTTTTCAAAATTCTATAGATTCTAGAATGGTGACTAGAGATTTAAAGATTGCAAATGTAACTCCACTATATAAGAAAGCAAGCAGAGAGAGAAAATGTGAAATTACAACCCTGTTAGCCTGACATCAGCACTGGCAAAAATACTAGAATCCATTATAAAGGTTGTGATAACTCAACACTTAGACAATAATGATCTGACTGGGTAGGCTGAAATGGATCTATGAAGGGGAAGTGATGTTTGATGCCAAACATGGTAAGAGATTTTTGAGAATGCTACTAACAGAATAGATAAGGGGGAATCAGCGGATGTGGTGTATTTGAATTAAAAGGTAAAGAAAATAAAAATCACCCTAGTCTCAGAGGGATCTTAGGGCTGTTCCCTCCAAGAGAGACGCCTGGTGATGGTTCAACCCAAGGGTCATCACAGCTCAGGTAAGGGGAGAAGGTGAGAAGGAGAGTCCTTCATGGAAACCTCAGCCAGTGCAGAAATTGAACCCAATTTGCTGGCATCACTATACAGCCGTCCAGCCAAGTAAGCTAACAGACCCCAAAAGTTAAAGTCAAAGGACCACAAGGCTGCTCTTTCATTAGACAAACGCAACCAGTGGTGGTTCTGCCTGAAGATCAGCCTAACTCAGGCAAGGGAGAGGTTGAGAAGGACAGTCCTTCATGGCAACCTCAGCCAGTGCAGGAATTGAACCCATGCTGCTGACATCACTGCATCACAAACCAACCATCCAGCCAACTGAATTGGGTCACTCGCAGATTGTTGTATCCCCTTGTCAGACAAGGATCAGTGCTCAGGCCCTCACTATTTATAATCCATACCAACAAATGGGACAAATTGTAATATTTTGAAGTTTGTGGGAATGTGCGTTGTCAGGATGATGCAAAGAGGATTTGGAATGGTTCAGTGAGTGGGAAAGAACATAGCGGTTGGAAAATCAAGTGCATCAGTCAGAGGTTATCCATTTCGATAAAAGAAGTGGGGGTGCAAACTATTTCTGCAACAGAGGAAGATTGGAAAGTATTCATGTCCAAAAGGGTGTCCTTATTCATGAGTCACTAAATGCCAAAATGCAGTGGCAGCAAGCAATTAGGAAAGCAAATAACAGCTGTCTTTTATGACATGACAATTTGCATACTTTCAACAGAGGGAACATAGGGGATGCTCAACAGACTAATTGCTGGGATGGCAGGACAGTCTGATGAGGTGACTGAACCTGCATTCTCTAGAATTTAGAAGAACAAGGATACAAAGCAACCTCATCAAAACCTACAAAAATCTGAAAAGGATCAACAGGGTAGATGCAGGAAGAATATTTCCCTTAGCTTAGTACCTAGAATCAGGGACAGTTTCAAACTGATGGCAGAGCTACAGGAAGGAATTCCTTCAATTAGAGGGTCACGAGTGTTTGGAATTCTGTACCCCAGAGGGCAGAGGAAGCTCAGTCAATGAGGACGTTCATGATGGAGACTGAGAGATTTCTAGATACTAATGACATCAAGGATCATGGAGATAATGTAGGAAAATGTACTGGGGCAGAATCTCAAATACTGGAGCAAGCTCGAGGAATTGAATGGTTTACTTGCTGGGCTATCTGCAGAGGCAGTATCAGAGGTAGGCTGAGGTAATAGTTCACTTTAAGATGCCTGGAGGCACGCTGCAAAGTCACACGTGGCACCCATAAACAAATCTCAATCTATTCAGGTGGGAGCTTACTGTTTAATCTATTTCTTAATGAATGCCTTATGAAGGTTGGCAAGATGGTACCTTCCTTTTACAGCCTAGCAACTACTCTTAAGCTGGAAGATCTCCGTTTGACCTTAGTGAACACATTCACCATTCTTAATTAATTGGAAAGTTTTTCTTTATGGCAATTATGGAAGTAGTTGGCGAAAATCTCAGTGGCTGTTTCTACCATCCCAGAGGGAGGCTCAGGACTTCATTCCTGCTGTCAGTGGAAAGTCTAGCTCAACAAGCTCTAAACCCAAATTAGAGGTAAATTGGTTTGAAGCTTTCAAAAGTTCGTTTGAATTGGTGAATTCTCACCTGGGAAAGAAATGCAAAATGAATCATATACACTTAAAAATTTACAAAAAGTTAACTTAGTATTCATGAAAGGTGGTGATCTTTTCATGGTTTTTCCACTCAAGAATTTAAGTGAAATAGGGCTGTGGTAACTACATGGCAACACACAAGTTATTATTAACAGCTGATATGTCTTTTTTTTTAAATAAATGCCCTTGTAATTTTGATATTTATAATGATTTCTGACAGCGTGACACAATTTGTTCACCAAGAGAAAAATAATAAGATGATTTAGGGAATTTCAAGTGGTTAAAAAACATAGCTTGAGGACCGTGTTTTATAATCCCAGGCATTATCATTAAAAGCTTACCTAGATCACAAAGTTTTGACACACGATAGGGCATGGGAAGTTTAAACAAGGCCAAGAGCACGCACCAATACACAAATCAAAACAGAGAAGTAGCTGAAATTTTATTGCTAATTGGAATTGGGTACATCAATTATCCTCAAATAAAATCAAGATATCCTGAACACAGTTGCCAAAAATACCAGATGTATCATAATCAGCAAAGTAGTAAGTAGTAACAGAGGTCTGCGGGGTGCTGTTAAGCAGATATTTAAAAGCAAGGACGAAAAAAGATCAAACTGTAAGAATGTATATAATACGAAGTCCATCTTTTTATTCTTCTGTATTTTTGATTGTGGACGGAAGTGGGAAAAAGGACTGTTTTAAAAACCAAAGATGATGGAATAGACTGCTGAACTTTTTAAAAAACAAGCTACCAGCACTTAGTGCAAGAACTGTTTGCAATGTTGCTGTTGAAACAGTGGGAAGCAGATTACTGTAAACATAGTGGTACCAAGGGTGTGTGTACAATATCAGCAACAAGTAGCTAATTGGTTTGTGAAGTTGTAACCAGTTGTTGATGACAAAGGCTTTCTGCCTGCCAACAACTACATGATTGGCTCTGAGGTGGCTGAAGAGCTTGGGTGTGAACGATATAGTCAAAGCCACTGGACCTCTGGAAGAGGTTGTGTCCTTTCTTCTTCAGTAAAAGCAAAACTAAAGCCTGAACAAAACCAGTTTAATGTTTCCTCACTAACTGCTGTAAGCGGTGTCTTTTAACCAAAAAGTCACAGACTTAAGTCTTATAAGACTTTAAGAACCTGTCACTCTGTGTGTCTTGTGAGCAAGTGAAAGTACCTGAAGAAAGGGAGGAGCAGCAAGTCCCAACAAGCAAAAGGTTTACCTCAATGAACCTTGTGTACAATAGATGTGTAGAAAATCAAGTTATAACTAGGATATAAAGAGTTTGTAAAGGGATAAGGTTAGGTAAAGTGAACGTGCAAAAATTGGCATGTGGAGTACAAATGGGAAAATGTCAATTTGCCTGCTTTCACTGGAAAAATAGAACAGCAATATAATATTTAAATAGAGACTGCTGTAGTACAGAAGGTTTGGGTGCCTTTGTGATGAATCATAAAAAGTTATCATCTAAGTTAAAGACACTTGCATTTAAACAGCTGATGCAGGACAAATTGTCACATTAATTTACCTATACCATTAATGCAGCCAAGCAAATTTGGACTTACCAGTTCCATTAGATCTTTAAGCTTTCCAATTTCTTCTGGAAGGGAAACTAACTTATTGTTGCTTACAACTAAAACTTTAAGTGGAAGATTAAATAAATATTTTGGCAATGTTGATAGAAGATTTCGGCTGGAAAAGAAAACCAAATTCAAAGCCAAGTAAATTAACAGAACTTCTAAAAACACAAAAAAAAACAAGAAACCAGTTTATTGTGGTAGGGTGTACAAGTATAAAAGACATTGCCAGAAAAGCTTACCATCCTAGAGGATGGCAATTTTCATTTTCTGTAAAATCTGCTTTAACTATTTTGCAAATATTTCACAACAAATACATTTCAATCAATTATTGAAACTTCTGCACAGAAATACTGCTACATTTCACAGATCCACAACCCATTCCATGCATGTTCATAAATTTAACATAGATATATCTATAAAATCAAATGTTTTGCTGTGACAGAAGTATTAAGTTATTTACAATTAAGTTGACTTTATAATTGATGAATTATTTCTTAAGTCCAGTTGGGTAACTATGGCATCTAGTTTTAGTACACGGTTCCAGAAATCGCCAATGAAAGAATGATCCAATAATGTGTATTAGGTGTAACCTGAAGCAGGAAGACAGATCAGAACATACAGGATACCTTGTTCGCACCAATAATGTCATAAGATCTTTTATGCTTGCTTTGAGCACACAAAATGTCTCAGAATAACCTCTCATTCAAAAAGATATCACCAATGATATAGCATTCTGTTAATAATGCAGTCAAGTGTCAGCCTGCATTAGGAGCTCAAATTCATAAACAGGGCTTGAACCAAAGCAAAGCATTCTGATCCAGCAGTGTTTTTCATTGAACCATGCTGACAACAGGTCTCTAGTCATTCTCAAGGTCTCAGAAGGACTGCCAAGGGGTGTCCCAAATCCTGTAGATTATCATAGCCCAATCAATTCCTTTGGCATTATATACTTAATGATCAAAGGATTGTACTGATCAAGAAGTAAATGATCCTAGGCCATCGGAAAACATTCCCATGTGAAAGCATGCTTTGAAACCAACAAAGATGGCCAAACTATTCAAACACAGCGACAACAATAACATTTACATGGCTAGAAATTTTGTGGTGAATGACTCAACTGTCTCTCCAGCTCCTGCCCATAATCTACACAGCACAAATCAGGAGCATGATGGAATACTCTTCACCTGCCTAATGAGTGCAGCTCCTACAACACTCAAGAAGCTCAACATCAGCCAAGACAATGCTGCCCACACAATTCACCATCTTCAAAAATGACACATGTAGCAGAAGGATGAATTATCTACAAAAGACACTGTAGCAATTCAACAAGACCCTTCAGTGCACCTTCCAAAAACCACAGGCACTATTACCTAGGTCAAGATCAGCAGATTCTTGGGACACCCATCTGCAAATACCCTTCAAACCCTATATCATTCGGATTTGGAACAATATTACCGTTCTTCACTGGCATTGGGTTGAAATCCCGGAAATCCCTTCCTAACACTACGGTGGGTGGACCTACACCCAAGTAATGCAATGGTTGAAAGTGACAGCTCACCATTACCTTCTCAAGGACATTTAGAGATTAACAATAAATGCTAGCCTAGCCAGAGACCCACATTTCATATGCAAATAAAACAAAACATATTACCAAAGAGGGTAAAAAAAATTTTGCCATTCTGATGAAAGGTTACCAACCTGAACAGTTAACTGTTTCCCCCTTCACAGATACTTCCAGACCTTGCTCAGCTTTTGTAGCATTTTCTGTTTTTACTAAGGAATTATGAAACTTATTAAATTAACAAAAATTCAACCAGTGCATATAAAATACCTTTATCTACATTAAAAGGTAAAGTTGCCATCATCCTCCTGGACCGTAAGACTGCTCACTCATTAGAAAGACACAGCAGACGATTTAACCAGAGGGTCACCAGATGTCAACCGAATGGAAAGTTTGAAGTTATTTTATAGTAGCCACACCAGGTGCGGTTACTGAACTCATACTCTTGGCATCACACTGCACTGCAAATCAGCCATCCAGCCAACTGAGCTGAACAATGCTCCCCCCCAATCTGCAATTAATTGCTTTTGTATCCTCATCCAATTGTGCGTTGGAGGTGCCAAAAAATATTTAGTAAATAATTTGAACTATTATTACAGTGGTTACTACTATTGACCAACATCGTTTTGTGCTTCAGATTTGGTTAGAATGCCAATGAAGTGATCCTGAGTCAAAAAGTTCAAGACTTGCTCCAGAATCTGAGCTCAATTTAGGCTACCAGCACAATAACAATCCTATATTTTGACAATATTTTACCCAGCGCTTTGAATGAGACATTAAACTGAAACCCTATCTGCTTTGATTGATAAAAACTGATGCAAACATTTACGACATTTATTTAGACATCACACTCAAAAATTTCTAGTTAAAGAAGGTCCACACTGCAATCAAAGCAACTCAAGTATTAAAACTGCTGATGCATTGGAAAAGGGGTAAAGAAAATTTTAAAAGGATGACAAAATGTTGCCTTATGCTCACTTTATGAAAAGATAGATTTAATAACCTAGGTTATCAGAGGAGTTCATTGTAAATTCTACTGTTGTGTAGAAACTCATGACACGCAGTTAAAGACTTACCTAATATTTAAGAAAGTTAACATTTGCAGATTAACAACAGTTTCTGGAATGCATTTGATGCAATTGTGATACAAGTGTAATGTCTCCAATGGCGCAAACAAGCAAACTTCTTGTGGAAGTTCAATTAATCTGTTCTTGGAGAGATCTGGGGAAAAAAAAAGGGATGCGTGTACAATTTCAAGCTTAGAATTGAAGTCAGTGATAATTACATTCACATGCAGGCTTAATTCATAAGGCATTTTGAAAATAACAATTTTACTTGGCATTTAAACATACATACAATGTATCAGAATTCACGATCAAAAAAGCCATTTGGAATAGTCCAAGCATGTTTTTAATTGCTGAATTATCCATTTTCTACTTCAGAACCTTATGACAGAATAACACTGAAGTCACTCTCATTTAATTGGAAACTCTAGAAGCCAAATAACAAAAATTAAAACTAGTTGAATTGATCCATTGCACTAAATATACATCAACTGAGACAACTCCAAAATTAATTACTCATAAAAATTAAACTATCCACAAAATACATTTGTTTAGTGAAGTTATTCACCCATATAAGGCCAGGTCTAAGGGGACGCATTCTGGAATCCTTATGTGACATTAAATACAAATGGGATTCAAGTCAAAGCCTTCTTTTCAGAAGGGACTTGATGCTCTCAAGACAGGCTTTGAAATCTGACTCCAACACAGTTTACTGTCTATTGTGGAGCACACGCCACCAAGAGGCAAAGAGGAATTGTTGTTATCTTAGAAAGGTCATATGAAGATTCATCTTCATCAAGACATACAGTCTCAATTACCCACAAAAACAAACAGATGTGAAGCATCTAGCAGAAACAATATTTAAACTAAAGTTTTCTTGCTTCCAGTTTCAATTGTTTTAAGTGTTTATAAGACGACCTGTTCAGAACAGATTTGGCCTTTCAAGAACCTGTGCAATTTAGCATTACTGCGTAAACACGCATGGTGACTAAAGAGAGCCTGCAGAATTTTAACCTGGCCAATAATAGCATCTGTCTGAACAGGTATCTGAAGTCTAAGTACCATCACTGAGGTAGGAATTGACGCAAACTGTTAATTAACACGATTGTTAAAATTAATACACTTATTAGTATATCTGGAATTAGAATGAGTGCAGCGACTTGTCATTTAATCTCTCCTGCCTTTCATTCTCAAGAGCCCTTCCAATTGCTTCTTCCAACCCCCACTATCGCTCTTCACTTCCTCCATGCTATCCCAACGTTAGATATTACATGACAAAAAAAAGGCAGAGAAAGAAAGAAAGCCATATATTGAACAATTACAATATGATACCAAATAGACACCATCAAGGGACTTTAATGTGAAAGATTTTATATTTGCTATGCCAGGGTGGTGGTGGGGTGGAATATTCAGGAGGAACAATAAGTATGTACTTATCAGTGTTGTTCTGACTTTTCAATGTATTCAATTTGGTATATTACCGGTTTGAGCAGGACATGTTTGCGTCTTCCTCTCTTTGGCTGTGTTTTTGCTTCTTATTCGCCCACGATATATGTGCGTGTTGCTGGTTGGGCCAATATTGATTGCCAATTTCCAACTGCCCTCGAGAAGGTGGTGGGTGAGCCTCTATATTGAACTACTACAGTGCTTGAATGTAGGTACACCCACAGTGCTATTAAGTAAGGGAGTTCCAGGTGAGTGTTTGTCATCTTCAGGGATAAGCAGGACACAAAGGATGGATGATGAATATAATTAAAATGTGAAATAGGGAATAAGCAACTGAAGTTTTAGCAAGTTCAAGCTTGTGAATATTAGAACTCTGAATTTACTACGAAGCACATTGTTTTTCTTCAGTTAGCTTCAGGATAGGGTATCCTGTACATAGTAGATTCACAATGATTACATAAGATATTGTTTTGACCAGCTAGGATACTAGGACTGCCTGGTCCTGGATGGCATTGAGTTTCTAGAATCTTGTTTTGACTGTATTACCTTCCCAACTTGCAAATGGTGATAGAGGTGAGCCAGCTACCAGTTACTACCAGTCAAGTACTGATATGGTTGCTCCAGTTTTACTTCTGAAACTTAAAATGAGTCAGATATTGTATGTAATGGCAGAGTCAGTGAAGGTTAAAAGGCAGCTGTTGGGCATGGCTGGGATTTTTTGTTGATGCTAGAGTTGGCACTTCAGTAACATGTTACCTGTCACTAGTCAGTCCAGGTCCTGTTCTAGGCTGTCACGCACTGCATCATTATCAAAACAAAAAGGAAACAAACATTCGCATATAACCTCACTTCTATAAAACAGACAATCATTGATGAAGGAGTTAATAATTGTTGCAGCATGGACACTAACATGAGAATCAGCCTCTGATAACCATTGCAGAAGAAACTGATTTTGACTATGAAGTCAGTTACTGAAGCATTTTCTCAGCAGCAGCAGGGCTTTTCTCAATAGGTCAATGATGCTCAATGTTAAATATTAACTTGTCAGTTGCAAGGGAAGTGGGATACACACAGGCAGCGGGTTCCAAACACGTAGCTCTCTTCTCGTTTGAAAGTTATGAAACTTAATAGCTTTGGATCAGAATCAAGGCCAAAGGCTTCTCATGTCCAAGTTGTGTCCACCCTACATATAACATAGTCCAACGGGATAGCCAATCTTGCCAGTAGTACAGGACATATTGTAGAATGTTGCCAGCAGAACCTGGATTAATAAACAATAGATATAATTCAATTGTGTGAGACAGCTCATTGCTAATTTAGCCTGAAAAACAGTTCACAACTCCCCATTTATTGGCAGGGAGAGGTTTACAATGTCAGTTACCGTAAGATGCAGCAGCAGAAATAGGCCATTTGGTTCATCGGGTCTGCTCTGTCATTCAATGAGATCACGGATGATCTGGTAATCTTCAACTCCGCTTTCCTACCAGATCTCTCAACCCTCGATCCTGTTTCTGATTAAAAATCTGTCTTTCTCAGCCTTGAATATGATTAATGATCCAGCCTCGACAGTCCTCTGCAGTAAAGTGTTCTGCAGATTCCTCCCCATCTGTGTCTTAAACTGGCAACCTCTTATTATGATTGTGCCTCTGGTCCAAGACTTTCCCAAAAAGGGAAACAATCGCTTCTTACCTGCCCTGCCAAGTTGCCTACGGATATTATTTTTCAATAAAGTGTCCTCTCATTCTTCTAAATTCCAATCAATACCAGCCCAATCTACTCAACTTCTCCCGATAAGAAAATTTCCACAGATCAACTTAGTGAACCTTCTACAGATGGCCTCAAATGCCAGTATATCTTTCCATAGATAAGGGGATCAAAACCATTCACAGCACCCTAGACATGGCTTGATTTTGTATAATTTAAGCAAGACCTCATTATTTTTACATTCTAATCCTGTTGAAATAAGGGTGAACAGTCCACTTGCCTTCCCAATTACCTGCTGAATCTGGATACTGAGGATAATTTATTAAAAATATTGCGTTTCCTAGTAAATTTATTGTTCTAACATTCAAAAGCTTGAACTTGCCAAAACTTCAACTGGCTACTTGTGTAATTTATGCACAAGGATATGAAATTGCGATGCTGCAGCTTTCTTGTGTCTTTCCCTATATAAATAATAATTAGCTCTTCTATTCTTTCTGCCAAAGTGAAAACCTCCCATTTGCCCACATTGGTCCATCTGCCAAGTTTCCACTCACTCATTCAAAACTGTCCATACCCTTCTGTAGATTCCATCATAGCCAACCCTTGTCTCTGCAGACTGGAAGCGTTCCGATCACATCTGAACTGCTGTCTAGATATTCCAATCAGCATGTCTGATAGCTCTCTCGTGATAATAGGTTCAAGGTAAAGGGTTTTGGCAGTGGAGCCGTTGAAGAGGTAAATAATTCTTTGGAGATGGAAATAAGGTATAATCACCAAAAGCTAGTTACTGAATAAATAATCCTCAGACTGGTTATAAGAATCCTAATGATTAAAAGAAAGGTGATAACATTATAAGTTTGGCCTACATATGCCAGTCCCACACAAGTGTGAATCCACCCTCTGAAATGACCTAACAAAGCAAATCAATTTTACAGGGATGAAGAAAAGAGCATGTCAGAAAAAGATGGATCAATAATAACTTGATCAAAGTTCAATGAAGAGTTTAACAATTGTCAGTTTTCCAAAGGCCAATTCCATTTATCCCCCAAGTGAAATGGACTCAGTGAAAAGGGAACAGAGGCTCAAACATCTCAATTAAATAATGTTGCGAGCAACTCATGACTATGTCGGACAGGCAAACTGAACAGCAAAAGAGATGAAGGAATTACAGAGTTAATCACTAGGATTAGTTTTCAATTAAAGTTACTGAGAGCGGGAGGAGACAGACAGGCAGAGAGAATGGGTCTTTACAATGTAATTTGTAGCTTTGGTTTATGGGCATCTCAGGTGATGTCAGGCTATGTTTTGAGATATTGGTATAGAACTACATGTTGCAGAAAGGACAGAAGGTTAGCACTCCCCTGGATAAGGATGAAGAGGTCCTAGTGGCCTTACAACACACATGGCCAAGTAAACTAGTGGTTGAAGACCTTATATTTAAATTAATACTGGAATATGAAATGTCAACAGGGATTGAGAACAGAGTTGTATATTACATTTATGCAATACATATGAATCAGTCAGATTATGCAAAACAATGGAACATTCTTTCTTCATTAATCCATACAGTTGTATGTACTTCTATGATTGTTCAGTTCATACTCATGCTAAACCCTAGTCCATTGTTTAAATGATTTTAAAAGGTAAGCAGTAAAACATTGCTCTAAATTGATCAACTATAAATATTATGTACATAGGAATTTTTACGTATAGTTATCAGATTTCTTTCTCTCATGCATCTCTTCAGACGAGATGCTCAAAGATCCACATCAAAATAACCATATTCTCCCAGAATCAAGCAATACAAGTTTCATGAGATATCCATGCTGTGTGTCAATATGAAGTACGCTTGGGTACATACCAATACTCAAAACTGTCAGTATAACCTAATATCTAGATCGGTATCAAGCAGCACATGCTTAGCAAAAACCTGTTCACTGATGTCAATTTGGGTTCCACCAGGGCCAATAAGCTTCTGACTTCATTACAACCTTAGTTCAAACATGGGAAAAAAAAAAAAGAGAGCTGAATTGCACAGTTGAGATAAAGATGAATGCTCCTGACATCAAGCAGCCACAGCAAAACTGGAGTCAGCGAATATCAGAGGGAAAACTCTGCTGGTCAGAGTCATACCTGGCACAAAGAAAGACAGTGGTGATTGCTGGAGGTCAGACATCTCTGCAGGAATTCCTCAGGTTAGTGTCTTGGGTATAAACATCTTCAATTGCTTTTCTCCATCATAGGTTCAGTGTGAAATATTTCCTAATGATTGCAGAGTGTTCACTCAGGATTCCTCAGTTACTGAAGCAATCCATGTTCAAATGAAGCAAGATCTGAACAATATCCAGGTTGGGGCTGACAAAGGGTTGCAATATTAGCACTCATGCCAGGCAATGAGCATCTCCAACAATAGAGAATCTAACCATCACCCCTTAATATTCAATGGTATTGCCAATCACTGAATCCCCTATTATCAATGTCCTGGGGGTTACCATTGACCAGAAATTGAATTGGACTAGCCACTTAAATACTGTGGCTATAGGAGCAGATCACAGGCTAGGAATCCAATAGCAAATAACTCACTACATGCACTCCCCAAAGCCTGTCCATTACCTATAACAGCAAGTCAGGAATGTGATGGAATGCTCCCTGCTCCAACATCTCAAGAAGTTTGACACCATCCAAGACAAAGCAGCCCACTTGATTTGCACCACATCTACAAATTTTCACTCACTTCGCCACCAATGCTCAGTTGCAGCACTATCAATAATGTACAAGATGCATTGCAGAAGTTCACCAAGACTCCTATGACAGCACCTTCCAAACTCATGACCATTACCACCTAGAAGGACAGGACAACACTTGCATGGGAACACAAGCACTTGCATGTCCCCTCCTCCAAGCTATGCACCATTATTTGGAATTATAATTACCATTTCTTTAGTGTGGCTGGGTCATGATCCTGGAACCCCATCCCTAACAGCATTGTGGGTGTTTCTACACCAAATGAACAGTAGTTCAAGGTGCTAGCTCACAATCAATTTCTCAAGGGCAACAGTGGCAATGTTTAAAAAACATTTGGATAAGTATGTGAATAGGAAAGGTTTGGAGGGATATGGGTCAACTGCAGGCAGGTGGGACTAGTTTAATTGACTATGATTGTAACTATGGATGGGCAATAATGTTGGCCAAACCAGTGAAACCATATCCCATGAATAAATTTTAAAAAGTGATCAGAATCCCATACAATACTTTCAGTGCAGAGGCGGCTTGTACTTGGTATACAGTACAGTGCAAGCTAGTAAAAAAAATTGTAAATGCCGATGTGGATCATTAAAGGGCCTTACAATTTTACGCAAACCAAGGTTTCCAAGTCTGTTTAGCAATACCAAAACAAACCTCTCTCAGAATAAATGCAGTGCAATGTACAGCAAGATGCTCATCCTGCATCTGTTGTCCGACTGGTATCTGCAGTGCATCTTTCCATTATGAATGCAAAATTCACAACCATGGCACAGAATGGGCCTAGAAAACTATTTTGGGGAGCTTCTAGCAGGAAAACTGTTTATGAAATTCCCAGAATTGCCAGTTTTAATTGTTTTATATTGGGGAGAGGGGTCACATCTGTTAATTTAAAACTAAGTAGTTTGAACAAGCAATCAATTATTTTGTTGTTGGACAGTATGGTTGCACGATAAATCACAATTCATAAATACTGTGAGTCAGAAAACATTAGGTTGATGTTTAAAGAAATTTGACTTCTGTACAAAATGCATTCACACAAAGTGCACAGCAATAATTTTAAGACACCATCAAAAATTCAATACTTCAAAAGTTTCCAGTAGCAACTCATGCACAAAAAATTCAAAAGGATACCAATGCTTAGTACACATGCCAATATTTCGACTATGATTAGCAAATTGGGAGAATATGCCTCAGTTGGCAAAATGTGTTAATGTATGGAAAAGATTTTTCCCCGATTGAATACTGCAATCTGACACTAACATTTTAGACCAACATGTGTGGCATCACATTCGAAAGCTATTGTGACAGAAAGAATGCACAGTTTTTGTAGCAAATCCTTGCCGCTGGATAAACAGTGCATCTCTTCACTCCACATTTACTATATGGAGAGTTGTTCAGCACAATGACCTAATTTGGTATGACAGATACTTTATTCCGGATTTACAAGGTGACCTACATTTTCTTTCAAAAAAAAACACGCTCATTACAATTTTCAAAAAGCTGTCAAATAATTTGTTTTTTTTTTTAAAAATGGTGTTGTATGAAGCCAAATGGGTAGCATTTAAAAAATTAACTTAAAATAACAGAATGTACAGACTCGCACACCCCCATCTAAACTAAAATGTACATCTACAAGCTAATAATTTGCAGTTGTCAAATTATTTTCATATTTCATAACCATAAAGAAAACCAAAAACATTTTCACAGTAAAAAAACTTTGAGAAATTCCATCAATTATGTTGGCAGTTCTGTAACCATTTTTTTGAGAAAATAATAAATGACCAATAAAAATGCATTAATAAAACTCAAGAACATCCAACTCTGCTGGATATATTAGAAGACCCAACAGTTTTAGCATGTGTTTTACACATTTAACCACTACAAGAGGCCTTTTCCCCATCATATAAATGCTTTATAGCTTATATGAAACATTCATTGCACAGAAATAGACCATTCAGCTCAGCAAGCCACCCCAAATCCATCTAATCCCTTCTCCCTCTAGTGTTTATCTAATTTCCCCTTAAATATATCTTTGCTATTCACTTCAACAACTCAGTAGGGAGTTCCTAATTCTGATCATTCTCTGATTAAAGAAGTTTCTCCTGAGGATCTGTAGTCTGTTACTGGCACAGTGAAAATGACTGAGTGTGCATGTCAGAGAGAGAAAAAAAGTGAATACACAATTGCTTGGTAGTACAAAACATGAATGTTGCCAATAAAGGAGCTCCAAAGATGAACTTTTTTTGTCTTGCACTCATCAGGATTGAAACACAATGAAAACAACTTTAAAAAGGAAACAATTTATAGCATGAGAAGAGGGAGTACTGATTGGCTGGACTATGGTTGGCGTAAAAATGTAGCAGGAACTATCAATCTTAGTTAACAGATTAACCAGTGTGTTGTATCCATTGCAACTTTCTCAATAAAGGAAAGGGTGTGTGCACATAGTCCTTTTGTCTTCCTTTTAGTCATACATAGGACTGTCTGTGCAGACAAAAAAAGAACGTGTCAACTTGTATCTTTACCAACAAGAAAAGAACTGTGGAAACAGCCAATGCCTACCACATCCTCATGGCACAACAGCACATGGTCACAGATATTTATTGGTTGCTTAGTGGTGTGGTTAATTGCATTGCCAAACTGAACTGCTCATAGCGCCACAGATGTAAGGGCTGCCTAACAAAAAAAACTGGCGTCCCTATCTGATTTATGACCAATTCCACACAACGTGGATTGATCAAATGGTCAGGTGATTTGCTGCAACCAGCTTTAAGCAGGTTTTCCACACACAGTGAAGGATTCTTTCAGATTTGCAAGGACCACACAGGGCCCACATATCAATAGCAATGCCATGTCTGTATTCTCATGTGACATTTCCAGCCTGCTCACCAATGTAATACTCAAGTAACCCATAGGCATCTACACTACGGCACTATATAATTGTGATCTAGCCCTGTCATCATTGAGTGAATCAGTATTCACAACTTATGAACTCAGCGACACTCTCAGTTGAGTTCAACTTTAACAAAATCATACATGCCCAAACATATCCCCTTACAAATTTCTTATAAGTAAGTGATACATTTGCTATATTTCAATCTGCAGTTGCATGCAAGAAATTTATTTACGTGTTAAGGCATTCCATCCTGCGTTCAAATGCACCTCTGAAATACAGCAATCAAATGAGCTCTTTTTTCTTGATGTGTCAGTTGAGAAAATCCGCTAGGGAGTTCTCTACTACATTCTGCCACAAGCATACCTTCACTGGTCAAAACAAAAAGCATTGGATTTCTGTAATTCCATGTAACTCAAGGTGCACCTTACCAAAAACCTCAAATAGAGGCTGAGCCTACTACTGACCCTGCAAAGTTGATGCTGATACAGAGTACATCATAGCCATTCTCCTAGGAAGTAACAGATGAAGCTGCCTGTTTCAAATTGCTACTGTGCAGTAGCAACACGAATGATATTTGCCAACAACAGGGTGCTACCATCAAACCAAACATTCTGCTTATCACACAAATGAATAACATGTTTAGGAATTTCAGTGCTGCTGTAAGGCTAAGTACACAGACCATATATTCCAAAGGCTCCACTGACTGTATATCAGATGCTTGCAACAGATAAGGTAGTGAACATGCCTAACCAGTCCTTGTTTGCAAAATTCAAAGCAGTCTTCCACATTAGACACTAATTCATAACTGGGC